TCTGCCAATCTCTGTCTTTTAATTGGAGAGTTTAATCTGTTTACATGTGAAGTAATTACTGATGACGAAGGACTTCTCTTTTTGCGCTGTTTGTTCTCTGCATACCTCACAGCTTCTGTGTCCCTCACCTCTTGCATTACTGTCCTTTTTTGTGTTTAGTTGATGTCTTTGTGTAGTAAAATGTGTAAATTTCTTTCTCATTTCAGTTTGTGTCTGTTCTGTAGCTGTTTTCTTAGTTGTTTCCATGGGGGTCACACTTAACATCCCAAAGTTACACCTCTTTAACTTGAATTTTATAGCAGACAGAAACTGCTACTTCACAGCAGCTGACCCCACTCCTGTCGGTTGTTGATGTCACAGAACTCCCATCTTATACATATGTGCCTGGAAACATAACCTAGTGTTTCTTTTCAACGCATTATTCTCTTAAATTATAAAGAAAACAAGATTTAGAGTTACAGGTCAAAGTTACAGTAATACTAGCTTAAACTATTAGCTGTTCTTTTTTCTTTAAATGTATTGGTCTCTTAAACTATATAGAAAACAAAAAGCTATTGCTGCAATAATACTGGCTTTTATAATTGGCCATTTATTTACTTTTATTGAGCTCTTTATTTCTCCACATGGCTTTGAGGTACTGTCTAGTGTCCTTTTATTTTACCTTGCAGGACTCCCGTGAGCACTTTTCTGCAGTGCAGGCCTAGTAGTCCCAGATTTCCCAGTTTTTGTTTATCTGAGAATATCATAATTTCTCCATCCCTTCTGAAGGGGAGTTTTGCCAGATACCATGTTCTTTTTTCTTTTTTCTTCCCTGTAAGTAAGACATGAGTGCATTTTTTAATTGATTCATTAATTTATTGTGTGTTGGTTTCTGCCATACGTCTACATCAAGCAGCCGTAGGTTCAGTTCCCCGGCCAGCGGTCGAACCCACGTCCCCTGCAGTGGAAGTGTGAAATCTGAACCACTGGACGGTCTCCTTAATGTCCTAAGTCTTTAATATCTGGCTCCCAAGGGAAAAAAGCAAAAAAGAAGAAGGGGATGAAAAGGGCACCAACCTTTTATTTATTTATTTATTTATTTTTAATAGTGTAGCTATTTTATTTTTTCCCAATTATTTTTATTAGTTGGAGGCTAATTACTTCACAATATTTTAGTGGTTTTTGCCACACATTGACATGAATCAGCCATGGATTTACATGTGTTCCCCATCCTGAACCCCCCTCCCACCTCCCTCCCCATCCCATCCCTCTGGGTCTTCCCAGTGCACCAGCCCTTAGCACCCGTCTCATGCATCCAACCTGGGCTGGTGATCTGTTTCACACTTGATAATATACATGTTTCGATGCTGTTCTCTCAGCATTATTTCACCAGATTTCTGTACCAAAGGTACAGCACGTGGGCTTTATGAAGGCGGAATGCTTTCTCCTGGAGCCCCAGCCCCGTTGCAGCTCAGGGCTGCAGCTGACCCACCCTGTCTGGAAAAGGCACACAGGATAGGTTCCCACTACTCGTCCCTCTTGAATGCAGAGTTCCAGAGAATAGCAAGGAGAGATAAGAAAGCCTTAAGTGAACAATATGAAGAAATGGAGGAAAACTATAGAATGGGAAACACTAGAGATCTGTCCAAGAAAATTGGAGATAACAAGGGAACATTTTCATGCAAAGATGGGCACAATAAAGGANTCAACCTTTCCCAACATCAGGGTCTTTTCAGATGAGTCAGCTCTTTGCATCCAGTGGCCAAAGTATTGGAGTTTCAGCTTCAACATCAGTCCTTCCAATGAACACCCAGGACTGATCTCCTGTAGGATGGACTGGTTGAATTTCCCTGCAGTCCGGGGAACTCTCAAGAACCTTCTCCAACACCACAGTTCAAAAGCATCAATTCTATTAAAAAAAATAAATAAATAAATTCTAAGGCCCTCAGCTTTCTTTATAGTCCAACTCTCACATCCATACATGACTACTGGAAAAACCATAGCCTTGACTAGACGGACCTTTGTTGAGAAAACAATGTCTCTGGTTTTTAATATGCTGTCTAGGTTGGTCATAACTTTCCTTCCAAGGAGTAAGTGTCTTTTAATTTCATGGCTGCAGTCACCACCTGCAGTGATTTTGGAGCCCAGAAAAATAAAGTCAGCCACTGTTTCCACTGTTTCCCCATCTATTTGCCATGAAGTGATGGGACCAGATGCCATGATCTTAGTTTTCTGAATGTTGAGCTTTAAGCCAACTTTTTCACTCTCTTCTTTTACTTTCATCAAGAGGCTCTTTAGTTCTTCTTCACTTTCTGCCATAAGGGTGGTGTCATCTGCATATCTGAGGTTACTGATATTTCTCCCAGCAATCTTGATTCCAGCTTGTGCTTCCTCCAGCCCAGCGTTTCTCATAATGTACTCTGCATATAAGTTAAATAAGCAGGGTGACAATATACAACCTTGACATAAGCCTTTTCCTATTTGGAACCACTCTGCTTGCAACAATAGGGGAGGTGAAATATCAATGTCTGCCTGCCTCTTTATTTGCACTGTGATCAGAAGCAGGAAACAGAGCTCCAATATCTGAAACACCCAAGGTTCTTTATGCCACCCCTGCTGTCTCCTCGACACAAGGTGCGTGTAAGCTGTTCCAGGAATATGTGCAAGCTGCCTTCCGGGTGGCTAGGAGTGAGAAAGAGATAGCTGCCACTGTGCTAAGGACTGAAATGGACCAAAATTACCCGCAATTTATGTTGTAAGTTTTCCCCTGTAAGTTGTAAGGCTTTAGCAGACTCCAGAGTTCAGAAGAGTTCCACGTTGCACAGATTCTGCCAGGTAATTGTCATCTAGGTGAAGAGACAGAATTCTGGTGTCTTAAATCTGCTGTTCTATACACACACATATACAATTTTTTTAAAAGGAATTTATTTTTTAGAGCAGTTTTGGCTTACAACAAAATTGAAAGGAATGTGCAGAGATTTCCCAGGTACCTCCTGCTCCCACACATGCGTGGCCTCCCCTGTTATCTGTACCACTCGCCAGAATGATTTGTGTGTTACTAGGGATAAACCTACATTGACACATCGTAGTCACCCCAGTCCATAGTTTACCTTAGGGTTCACTCTTGGTGTACATTCTTTGGGTATATATTTGGACGAATGTATAATGACTTAAATCCATTATTACAATGTACAGCGTGTTTTCACTGTCCTAAAAATCCTCTGTGCTACCTGTTCATCATTTCCTACCCCAGTTATTGGTAACCACTGTTGGCTTTTACTGTCTGCACAGTTTTGCCTGTTCCAGAATACGGTAAATTGTAGTCACACAGAAGGTAGACTTTTTAGATTGCCTTCTTTCACTTAGTAACATACATTTAAGTTTCTTTTGTGTATTTTTCATGGCTTGATAGATCATTTCTTTTTAGTGTAGAGTAATAACACATTGTCTGGATATACCAGTCCGTTCACCCACTGCTGGACATCTTGGTTGCTTCCAAGTTTTAGCAGTTATGAAGCCGAAGAAGCTGCTCTAGACATCCAGGTTTGTGTGTGGATATAAGTTTTCAGCTCATTTGCGAGAATAGTAAGGAATACTCGGTCATGTGGTGAGAGTATGTTTAGTTTTGGGAGAGGCCACCAAACTCTTCCAAAACAGCTGTACTGTTTTGCATTCCCACCAGCAATGAAAGTGAGCTCCTGAGTCTCCATGTCCTTGCTAACCTCTGGTGTTGTCAGAGCTCCAGACCTTGGCCTTGCTAATAGGTACGTTGTGGTATCTCATTGTTGTCTCAGTTTGCATTTCCCTGATGATATATGGTATGGATCTTCTCATATGCTTGCTTATTAGCCATTTGTGTATGTTTTTTGGTCAGGGGTCTATTAAGGTCTTGAGCCTATTTTTTTTTTAATAGTGTTGTTTATTTTCTAACTTTAGTTTTAAGAGTTCTTTGTGTATTTTGGGTAGTAGTACCTTAAAATCAAATGTGTATTTTGCAGATGTTTTTCCCAGGCTGTGGTTTGTCATCTGATTCTCTTGACACTGTCTTTTGTAGGGCAGAGGTTTGTAATTTTATTGAAGTCCGCTGATCAGTTATTCCTTTTATGGATTCTTTCTTCGATATTTTGTCTTAAAAAGGCATCACCGCACGCAAGGTCATCTAAGTTTCCTCCCATGGTAACTCCTGGGAGTTTTCTCATTTTGCATTTTGCCCTCCGGTCCTGCAGGCACACTCTTCCTCGTGCCTGTCTGCTGCTGCCTCGGCCCCTGCCAGGGCTGAGCGCCTCAGCTCTTTACCTCCGTGTGTTTTCTTCCTTTAACCAGTTCCATCATCCGTCTGCTGTAGACCCTCTTGGAGCAGTAGAGGTAGGGAATCAAGGAAATAAAGACTTAAGAACTAATACTCTGTTTCAGACCTAGTGTAGCTGCTGCTTGGGGTCATCTTCCTATTAACATTTCTAGCATTTGATTGAAATGACAAAAATCCAGGCTTACTAATTGAGATTCTTCTGTAATGATAGGATAAACTATAAGCACGCCAGTACAGCCAGCTCAGAAATGTTAAGCAAGTCTCTTTAAGAGGTCTTCACGTGTGAATTTCAAATCTTCTGGACTCCAAGGCAGGCTTAGACCCTCTCTGAAGAAGCTGCCAAGTGAAGCATGTCTGGTGAATTTCACAGTCACTCGCAGGGCTATAAGTTTGGCAGTCACTGTCTTGGGGGTGTTTGCATTGCTTCACTCCATTCAATTTTTCGGTCTCTCTCCCTTTTTTAACTTTGACACACACAGCTCTCCATACCAGAATTTCCCACAAAAAAGACAAACTGCAGAGCTGGCAAAGAGGGCTTATATTTGCTACACCAATTACTGCTGTCTGGAAGGGACCTGAGGGGAAGCATCCTCCTTTGTGATGGGCGATGCCTTTGATGGGACCTTGACTTTCTTAGACATTCCCGTTTTGGAGATTTTGATTTGCTGTTCCTGTGAAACCACTTTCCCTACCCCTCTTTTCTTTTTCGTAGCTTGAGACAGCAGCCACAAGGGTCCCCGCTGCCATCCCTGCCCCGTGGCTGAAGGAGCACGCGCGTTTTCTCTTGGAGCTCATGCTGCAGCAGTCTGGCACCCAGTATGAGCTGGGGAGACTATTACAGCTGTTGGTTGGGGTAGAACATCTCTTCTCTGACGGTGAGACAGACCTTACATTTAAGTTGCTGCTAGGAAGTTAGCATACTTAATCTTGAACATAGCTTAGAGGAGCATTCAGGAAATCAAAATGCATGTGATATAAAACATTACAGGTCAGAACGTGATGTGAAGAAGAGGTGACAGGAAACTTCAACCAAGGTTAAAGCATTTAAAACAGCACAACAGGGTAGAACGCAACTAATACAACTATCTGCTAATTCTAAGCAAATAGCCAAATTTCCCCTGGCTGACGTCTCTACTGCCCTGTCACTGTTACTCTTTTCTTTGACAAGTGACCTTAACATGTCATCATTGCTCAAGGTCACAAACTTGTTTCAGGAATGCCTTAACTCATTTTGAAGGTTTTAAGAGACATTGTGCTGATTTTTTGCAGGTTCCTCTAGACATTGGCAGTCTCTAAGCTTATTGCTGATTGAATGAAACTAGTGTTCCCTTATTTTCTTTTCTACTTTTTTGAGAATTTCAAGTTTTTGTTGAGTGGTAATGTTACTGTTTTGCACTAGATTGCTAGTATTTTTCACTCCCAGGGTTATTTTATCACATTTAAACTCACAGATGTTCAACTGGGAGCTCACATTTGCACAGAACAGTGATAGAATACCTGAGCTTCATGCCAGTCTTGTGGGCTGTGCAAGCTTGAAGAAAAAAGAGGGGGTGTTTCCAACATGTATCATATATGAGCTACTTGTCAGTTACTGTGTAGACCAAACCGTAGATGCTTTTAGTATATTGTCATTGGTCTATATAGTAACTTTAATTTTTTCAGAAATGAATTTCCTCTTGCCAAAGTACCCTATCTTAAAAGATTACAAAGATTATCTGCGTTGTTAACCATTACTATAATGTCCTATTCACATAATTACATTGTTTTTATGTAATATTTTTATGTGTATACCATGTATGTGTTTTGAGAAAACAAATATGTTTTTTTTAAACTTACATTTTATATTACGCCAGCATAGAAAGCCAGCATGCCCATACTGGTGGTTAAAACACAAGGTGTCTCTGTCCCTGGAATTAGCTACATCCGAGCACAGCCCAGCAGGTGGCAGGGGGAGCAGGCCCTGTGAAGCAGTTTGCATGCCGCTCCTTTATCACCGGGCAGACAGAGGCTCTGTGTGACTCTATCTGAGAGTAGGCACAAACTGAACCACATACATTATTGGCAGATAATAATTCCTAGTGTTAACTCAGGATAAGAATTTCTAGGGCAGATAAATATTGTACCATTTCACTTACATGTGGAATCTAAAGAGTGAATGAACAAGCAGAACAAAAGAGAAACAGACTCACAGGCACCAAGAACAGACTGGTAGTTGCTGGAGGGAGGAGGGTGAGGGGATGGGCCAGGTAAGAAGAGGATTGAGAGGCACACACTCCCAGTTATAGAGCAAATGAGCCGTAGGAGGCACCGGACAGCCTAGGGAATGTAGTCAGTAAAAGTGTAATAGCTTTGTGTGCTGGCAGATAGTTACTGGATGCATCGTGGTAATGATTTTGTAATGTTCAGAAGTGTCGGGGGCGTCCCTGGTGGCTCACTGCCAGTGCGGGAGGCGGGTCCGACCCCTAATCCAGGACGACCCCACATGCTGCAGGGCAGCTGCGCGCCGCGGCTGCTGAGCGTGTGCTCCAGAGCCCGCGCGTCTCAGCGCCTGAACCCCGCACGCCCTGAAGCATCCGCTCACGTGAGGGAGAAGCCACCTCGGGAAGCCTGCACCCCGCAGCCAAGGGAGCCCCTGCCGGCCACAGCTGCAGAAGGGCCCATGTGGCGGCAGAGAGACGGTGTAGCCAGAAATAGCTTTACCTAAATAAACTTAAAACTTTAAATAACAAAAGCTCAAAAAAATTACCGAATCACTATGTTGTACACCTGGAACAGATGTAATATTGTAAGTCAGTTGTAGTCGGATTAGAATTTCCTGGGGACATCAGGGAGTGCCTGGCTGGGTCTCCTTGGGGTGCGTCAGAGAGATGTCTGGGGGAGCACGCAGTGCTCCGTTCTGAACGCGGGGGAGCCGCATTAGAGTGCTGGCTGTGGACTGGCTGTCCTGCAGGTTCTGTGTGTTGATCCACGTGATACTTGGCGTAAGTGAATGAGTGAACAATCATAAAAAGAAATTTAAGGTAGGAAAATCTGGGAAAAGATGGAACTAACCTGAACGGCCAGGTCTTCCCAAGGTTAACTTGAGTTGGTGCTACATAGTAGGCCAGCAGCTTCTGCCTGGTATGTAAAGCCAGATTTATAGATGGAACCCACGTGCTAATCCCTAACGGGTCTTACTGTATAGGAGCTGCCTTTGGCTTCCTCTGCCAGCCAAGCAGAATAGAAAAAGAGGCGGCTGTTTTCCCTTTAAACACATCATTAGGTTAAATATACACATTCTCACCTCATATTTAGTTGCTCTTGAAATGGCCATATCAGTATTTTGCTTCTATTTTTTAATATTTCATTTTATTTTAATGCTTGTATCTGCTTCTGTTTGGCACAGGTCCAGATGTGAAGAAACTGTGTGTCCTAAGTCAGATTTTGAAGGACACCTCCATAGCCATTAATCGTGCAATTATTACTAGCTACAGCCTTGAGAATTTCCAGCGTGAATGTAGGTCAGTTTTGGACAAACTGGAGACAGACGGACACTTTGCTCTGGCCAGGAGGGTAGCAGAGCTAGCTGAGCTGCCTGTGGACGACCTGGTGATTGAAGAGGTATCGTGGAGTCTTGGAAGTTATTTAGAAACTGAGCTTTTTGAACCAGCATTATTTGGAGAATTCAGTGAGATATGTGACTTACCAGAGATGACACTTTTTCACTCTTGACACACAGATTACTTTCAGAAATGGATGAGCCTACAGTGCCCATTTTTGAGGAGTGTTTGCTTTAATATAAAGTTAGCTTACAGGACATGCTTCAACTATATTGAATAGAATTAAATATAGCATGGCTTCCTCTTGAACTTCATTCAGTTAGATAAATTTAGAATTGTATTTCATACTTTTAACTTTCCAGATAAAATTTCCAGGATCATCTGTAGCCAAGTCCCATGTTCTCTAGTTTGATTTGGATTCTTACCAGTATGGTTTACTTAGGGAGCATTAACATTTATGATACTTCTTTATCTAGGAAAAGCTCAGAATTGCTTTCTCAATTTCACAGATCACACAGGAAATGCAGACCTTAGAGCACATTGACCAGTGGTCCCTGAGACAAGCACGAATTGACTTCTGGAAAAAATGTCATGAGAATTTTAAGAAAAATTCCGTTTCCAGCAGAGCAGCAGCAGCTTTCTTCTCAGCCCGGGCCCTGCGGGCGGGCGAGCGCCCCGCTGCTGGGGGCCCCAGCGGCGCCGAGGAGCGCCACCTGCTGCTCTCGCTGGCAGGGCACTGGCTCGCCCGGGAGGACCCGGTGCCTCTGGAGGAGCTGGAGGACCTGGAGAAGCAGATCTGGCTCTGTCGTGTCGCCCAGCACACCCTCGGGGGGAGCCGGGAGGAAGGAGAGCCCAGAGGGCCTCAGCAGGTCTCAGCTGGAGGCGAACTTTCCTTTGATGGCTTAGCCAGTGAGTTTTCATTCTCTCACTTGGCTGTTCTGAACACGTCAAAATACTTAGAACTGGATGGCCTTCCGTCCAGAGACATTTGTGACAATAAACTGAACTGGAAGGAGCAGGCGTCCCTAAACTGTTTGATCGGGCGCCTGCTGGATGACGGCTGTGTGCACGAAGCAAGCCGAGCGTGCCGGTATTTTCGTTTCTATAACCAAGACGTCACCTTGGTGTTGCACTGCAGAGCGCTGGCTTCAGGGGAGGCTAGTATGGACGACCTGCACCCGGAGATCCTCGCGCTCTTACGAAGTGCTGAGCTTCCTGAGGAAGAGGAGGAGGCTGGCATCCCCCTAAGGAAAGTCCAGAGCAGTAAGTGAAGGTCACGCTGCTGACTCCTGTGAGGTGCCGTTTGGCATTCTCTCCAGGTAGAAAGAGTCTTTTGACATACCAGTTACGCTAAGTTAAGGGTGATCCATGAACTAGGTAATTAACTAGTCAATGAAGTAGAAACACCTGTATTTTTAACTAACTGTGTAGCAAGATTAGAGGGAATCTATCTGACTTAAAATTAATTCACTGAAATTTACTCTGTGTAAATAATCATGTTTCCAATTGTACATGATCACATTTAGAATTATGGTTGATTTTTTACATTAAGCTTAAATTCTGTGATCTTGCTAGACTCACTTATCCTAAGAGATAAGTAGATTCCTTGGGATTTTCTATGGAGAGAGTCATATCAGCAAATAGAGGTGGTTCTGTTTCCTTCTTTCCAGTCTCTCTACCTTATTAATTATTCTTGATTTATTGTACTAGCAAGGACTTCCATCACATCCTTGCCTTGTTACTGGTCTTAGGGAGGAGGCATTTAGCCTTTCATCATTAAGTATCAGATCAACTCTAGGATTTTTGAAGTTACCTTTGTCATGTTGAGGAAGTTCTATTCCTAATTTGCTGAGAGTTTTTATCATGAACCATTGTTGAATTTTGTCTTTTTTTTCCTTCATCCGTTGGTATGGTTGCGGTTTCTTCTTCTCTAGACTAGTAGTACAGTGCGTATGTGTGTGATAAGTCACTTTAGTCGTGTCCGACTCTTTGCAGCCCTAGGGACTGTAGCCCACCAGGCTCTTCTGTCCATGGGGATTCTTCAGGCAAGAATACTGGAGTGGGTTGCCGTGTCCTCCTCCAGGGGATCTTCCTGACCCCGGGATTGAAACCATGTCTCACATCTCCTGCATTGGCAGACAGATTCTTTTATCACTGGCACCACCTGGGAAACCCCAGTAATACAGTAGATTACATCACTTGATTTTTTTAAAATACTGAACCAGCTTTTTGTATTTCTAGGAAAAACCTCACTTGGTTATAGTACATTATTCTTTTTGATATATTACTGGAATCAACTTACTTTGTTGAGAATGTTTACATTTATATGCATGAAGAATATTGATCTGTACTCTTCTTTTTTATACTCTCTTTGGTTTTTGCATCAGAGTAATGCCAGTTTCATGAGTTGGAAGGTTTCCCTCCTCTTCTGTTTTCTGGAAAATGTTGTATGGAATTGGTGTTATTTCTTTTTCAGATGTTCAATAGAATTTAGCAGTAAAACCATCTAAACCTGGAGATTTTTGTTTTGGAAGATTTTAAACTACAAATCTAATTTATTTCATAGTTATATGACTAATCAGGTTATTGTTGTTGTTTTTCTTAATCTTGGGTGGGTTTTGGTAGTTTGTATTTTTTGAGGAAACCTCCTTTTCTTCCCTTTGGGTTATTTTAACAGTTTTTAGTCTTCCATTTTAATTTGGGATTTTGACTATATAGCTTTGCATAGTTGTTGTTTTTTTTAATTGGTTGCTCTAAGGGTTGCATTAAACATTTGTCACTTTTCACGGTCTACTTAAAACCATGTTTTCTCACCTCAGCTGAAGGGTAGAAACCTTATGGGTCACTGTACTTCTCTCCCTTTATGTCCAAGTTGCCTTATTATGTAATGCCTACATACATTGAACATTTCATCAAACAGTGCTAAATTTTTTGTTTTCAACTGAAAAATATGTTTTAACAAACTTGAAACTAGTTTATTATCAGTATATTTACTCAGATATTTACAGTCTTTTTTTAATCTTTTGGCCATACCGTGTGGCATATGGGAGCTTAGTTTCCTGACCAAGGTGAACTCATGCCCTTCTGCATTGGAAGCACAGAGTCTTAACTGCTGGACTGCCAGAGAAGTTCAGATATTTACAGTTTCTGTTGCTCCTCCTTCATTCCTGATGTTCCAAGTTTCCTTCTGGTCCCTTTTCCATCTGTTTGAGGGACTTCCTTTGGTGATTTGTTAAGAGTTGTCTGTTAGAAGCAGATTGTTTCAGTTTTTTTACTTCATCAGTTTTTTGTTCATCTGAGAATGTCTCTATTACACCTTCAGTTCCTGAAGGCTGATTTTTTGCTGGTATAGATGATACAGAACATTTATTCCTTTCTTTCCACACTTAAAAATGTTCCGCCACTTCCTTTTGACCCGCATGGTATTTGATGAATAATGTGCAGTCATTTGAATTGTTGTTCCCCTGTAGATAATGCATTTTTCTCTTGTTGCTCTCAATTTTTTTTTTTTTTCCCTGTCTTTTCAGCAGTTTGATTTTTGGCCAGGGGGTGGTGTGGGTTATGCTGTTTGAGCTTCCTTAAGCATGTAGGTTTATCCAATTTAGGTAGTCTTCAGACATCATTTTTTAAAAATATTTTTTCGGCACCATACTCACACTGCTGTCCTCCTGGGACTCCAGTGACATGAATCTTAGAATGTTTGTTCTTGTCTCAAAAGTCCCCGAGGCTTTGTTCAGCTTTTTCAATTTTTCTTTCTCTGTTCGTCTATCTTCATTTACACTGACTCTGACATTTCTATTCTGTTAGTTTTCATTTCTGTGATTTTAAAATTTCAGTTCTAAAATTTCCTTTTTATTCCTTATACCTTTTGTTTCTTTGCTAAGACTTTGTTTTTCTGTTTATCTTGTGAGCATTCATAACTGCTTGTTGGAACATTTGTAGTAGCGGTTTTAAAGTCTCAGGTAACTTAACAGTTACGTCGCTTTAGTGCTGAGTTTCGGCATTTCTTTTCTTACGTGAGTTGAGCTTGTCCTGTATTTTTGTATGCTGAATAATTTTGCATTGTATCTTGGACATTTTGAGTAGTATGTTACGAGATGTTGGGTCTTGTTTAAATCCTGTGAAGAATGTTGATACGTTTTTAGCAGACAGGTGACCTGGTTAGGCTCAGACCGCAAGTGCCAGCCCGCTTTCTGTGGGCTGTGGCTCCAACACCCACTTTCAGTCTCTTCTGCGGTGCTGTTCAGGCCCATCCTGTGCCCAGTGTAAAGCCTGGGGAGGGAGGGGGGGGTCTGTCTGTTGATTTCATTCCTCCGAGTCCTTGATTGTTGGTCAAGACCAGGTCCATAATGCACGAGCCCAGGAATGGATGAGCCCTAATGTTTATGAACAACTTCATTGTGTTGAATGAATCTCTCTCCCAGGCACTTTCTGGTTGCCTGAGGCTTCCCTTTTGCGTCTTCTGGCCAAAGCTGGAGTTACCAGTTACCCCATTCTGTCATACACTTTTCTGACTGCCTGCATCTTGGGCCAGCTGATAGGATAATGCAAAAAGGAGCAGGGATTCACTCTGCCTGCTTAGGACCAGAGCACCTCTGTTTTGAAAAGAAGGTCCCTCTCTGAATTTTGGCTCTTGCCAGCTGCCACTGCAGCCTGCCCACTACAGCTAAGGGATTGCTTAAGAGCAGAGACCAGAGATAATGGCTCCTGGGAGTTCCCTTTCCACTCCTTGAGCCTGTTCTACGAGGGTGTCTCCTGAAGTGCTCTTTCTATCTGTGAGTCGCAGTGATGGGTTCTGGGTTTCAGGCAGCACTGCATTCAGTCTGGAGGTTGCTAGCAGGGAGACAATGGCAGTGCAGGTCATCTTCAACCCACCTGCTACTGTTTATTTTTCAGAGTCTTCATAGAGCGCTCCATGCCCTGGGTCTAGGTTTTATGTTGAGTTCAGTGGAGGAGACCTAGAAATGGAAAACCCTAATGAAGGATTTTAAGCAGGGGAATAACATGGTCTGAGTTGCTTTTTATTTTTTTGTGTTTAAAGTGTATTTTTTAAAAAGTGATATCTTAAATGCAAAAGTATTATATTCTTAATGTAACAAATCACACAATACAGAAATGCATAAAGTAGAAAAGTAAAAGTTGTTTACCCCATTCAACAGCACCCCACTAACTTCCCCAGAATAACATCCTGTACTTGCCTGTTGTGTCTTGTTTTCTGTCTGTGGGCTTTGCACGCGTGCGTGGACATGTGTGCTGTCAGTACAGAGGGATGAGCCTCGTTCTTCTAGCGGCTGCAGAGTCCTACATGCGTGTATGTGATTTTTTTTTAACAATGATTCACTGATCCACACTTAAAATTTTTCAGTTTTATTTTTGCTATTAGGAACAGTGTCATGTAAATATTCTTTCCTACTTTTTTCCCCAATAGGAAACCCTTTAACAAATTGAAGTTTTATTGTAGGCTAAGAGCTTATATTTTTTTTAATTTTTTTATTTTAAAGAGAAACCAGGAATGGCTTTCACTTTTACCATGCCTTTAAGATATCTATCCAGATGATCCTTGGTTTTTGTGATCTGTATTTTATGATGCAAAGGGCACCAGGTTTGCAAGGCTGAGCTGGGGGAGCAGGTAAGGGGCAGCAGGAGACAGGAACAGCCTCTTAGATGCAGAGGGTGAAGGCTGGACCTCAGGTGGTGACTACAGAGATGTTCTGAGATACAGTCAGGTGGACCTGTGACTGACTTGATATCAGGGGAAGTTGGGAGGGAATGTGTGCAGGGGAGAGTTTGGCAGGTGTCTTTGATGGTCTCTAGTGTGTGTGTTAGGAGGCTTAGAGTCGTTTTCAGCCTATGAGACCTTCAAAGTATCCTGGGCTGGGATTTCCTGGAAGAAGGCAATGACAGAAGTGTAAGTAGGGTGTGAGCCCTGTTAGAAGCGGCCCCAGACCCGGGGCAGTGAAGGAAGCTGTGACCAGAGGGGCAGAGTCACGGGGGCCGAGGAGCGGCCTTGAAAGCCCCCCGCAGACCTGTGTTTGCTTCCAGTGTCCAGTCTGGACGGTCAGTCGTTTGTGATGCCGCCCCTCGCAGATGAAGTGGTGATGAACCTGGAAACTCTGACAAGCAGGTGCCTCCACGGGAAGAACTACTGCCGGCAGGTCCTCTGTCTCTACGAGCTCGCCAAGGTGCACGCCAGCGGGGCCTCCGCGGGGAGCTGCCTCGGGGGCGGGCCGGGGCGGGGGCGGGGGGCAGGGGGTTGGGACGTTCTCCAGTCAGCCTGTCAGTGATGACCGTTACCTCGGAGGAGAGCTCTTGTCGGTGTGCTGGCCCCTATAAATCCACCCCCCACCCCGAACCATAGAGGGGAGCTCGCCACGTGGAGCAGAGCCCAAAATTTCAAATTTTAAAATAAACTTGAATGTAAAGACAGGAGCCAAAGCAGCCAGCAATTGTTTTGGCTTTGTGCGGATTGAGGGAGAAAAAGATTTGATTCTAAATGCAGTGGAAGAGCGTGAGAGAAAGCTAGCCAAGCGCTGAAAGCCCTACCTTGGACGAAGCGCAGAGACGTCTTTGGAAATTAAGGGTTTCCTGCTGCCATGGGAACAGTAAAGAAGGGCTCTGCCTTTTATTTAGATTTCATGACATTTGCAAAGCTCAGTGTTGGGTGAGAGAGGGTAAGTCCCCTGATGATTTCTGAAGACAAACCTTTCTCTTGCTTGGATTCAGCTCATTGGCAAGGTGATAGAAGGGACTCGAAAAACGGGTTTGCTTCTCGTAAGCTTCCTGCTCAGGGTGAGGGATCTTGAAGCTCAGAAAACCATGGCGTCTGTCCACGTCAGATTTCGGGAAGGGTGGTGGTCTGCTGTCTTTCGCCTGGCTCCTACTGACAGCGTGGATTGGCTCTGCCTTCCTCTCAGGAGTTGGGCTGTTCCTACGCAGACGTCGCTGCCCAGGATGGTGAGGCCCTGCTCCGGGCCGTCTTGGCCTCTCAGCGGCCTGATCGATGCAAGCGAGCTCAAGCCTTCATCAGCACCCAGGGCCTCAGGCCGGACACAGTGGCTGAACTTGTGGCTGAAGAGGTGACCCGGGAGCTGCTGACACCGTCGGAGGGAACAGGTGCCCCGCTGCCAGGCCTCCCTGGCCTTTCAGACCACACTCTCCAGCTCCCCGCATTAAGAATTCGATTTATGTTCATGTACATCTTGTATGCTGTCCTTGCAAGGTGCCAGGTTTTGCACTTGAAAGAGAACACACTGCATTTATTTCTTCTTTCAAAAATATTCATTTACTTGTTTATTATTGGCCGTGTTTGGCCTTCATTGCGGCATGCAGGCCTTTTCTAGTTGCGGAGCGCGAGGTCTCCGCTCTAGCTGGGGAGCACGGGCTTCTCTCGGTGGTGGCTTTACTCTTGTTGTGACACGCGGGCTCTGGGCGTGCGGCTTCAGTGCTGCTGCACGTGGGCTGCGCAGGTGGAGCACGTGGACTCTTAGCTGCGATGCACACACTGGCTTAGTTGCCCCTGGCGCGCGGGGTCTGCCAGGACCAGGGATCAGACTGGTGTCTGCTGCTGTGCAAGGTGGCTTCTCAACCACTGGGCACCAGGGAGGCCCTGCATTAATTCTCCTACTGTTGCTTTTAGTTATTGCTTTAGGGTTATATTTGGAGTGAAAGTGCCTTTCTCTGAGCTGATGACCCCTGGTGTCCTGCGCGAGGGCACCTCAGCTGCGGCACTGGAGGACAGCTGCCCGGGGAGCTCCCTCGGCATGGCCTCCTGGGCCCAGGCCTGCACCGTGGCCTCCTGTCCTCCTCTGGTCTCTCTCACGGTAAAACTAGCACCTTTCTCCACATCTTTCTATATAGGACACAAGCAGGTGTTTACCCCAGCAGAGGAAAGCCAGACATTTCTTCAGCTAACCGCTCTGTGTCAAGACCGCACTTTGCTGGGCATGAAGTTGTTGGAGAAGATTTCCTCTGTTCCCCACGGGGAGCTGTCTTGCAGTAAGTTGTCAGCCATCTTCTTAACGTGTTTTGGGCCCGAGCAGGTCACTGAGAAGTCTTCTGTTTGGATCCTTGTTTCTCCTCTTGATCCCTCCTCTTCCACAATTGTTTATAAGTTCTTAGTAGAAAGCCATAAGTTCATTAAAGAAAAGTTAGAAAATATATATGGAAATGCAGCCCAAAATTTAAAATCACACCAAAAAGTAACCTTTTCTCATTTGGTATATTTAGCTTATTTTATTCTTACATTACCCTGCAAAATGGCTATTATTGTCCCCATTTTAGAAGAAGGAAACTGACGCTTTAGATAAGTTGATTAATTTATAACTTATTATGTGACATAGCTGACATCTGAACACTGTGTGATTTCAAAGCCTGCTCACTTTCACAGTGGTGTTGTGCTCCTTCAGTAGGGTGTGTCCCTCCCATCTGTTTCCGTGCAAGTCCATAGGTTGTCATTTTTTTTTAAATGGCATTGTACTGTGGATCCTACTTATAATTATGAATATGCTGTCATTAATATCTTTCCATAGACACTGACTATTCTACATAATTTTTAACGGTTACACAGTATTTCTCTTACATGTAATTTTAAAAGGTATACCCTATTACAGGACCTGCAGATTGCTTACAGTAGCTTCTGGTACTTTAAACCCTGTGACAGACATGCTCACAGGCAGCCTGTCTGCACACCCATGATTACTTCTGTAAGAAAAATTCCTGGTTCAGGAGTATGCCCGTTTTTAAAGCTTTCAGTTCAGTCGCTTAGTCGTGTCCGACTCTTTGTGACCCCATGGACTGCAACACGCCAGGCCTCCCTGTCCATCACAGACTCCCGGAGTTTACTGAAACTCATGCCCATCGAGTCAGTGATGCCATCCAACCATCTCATCCTCTGTCATCCCCTTCTCTTGCCCTCAGTCTTTCCCAGCATCAGGGTCTTTTCTAATGAGTCAGCTCTTCACATCAGGTAGCCAAAGGATTGGAGTTTCAGCTTCAGCTTCAGTCCTTCCAATGAACACCCAGGACTGATCTCCTTTAGGATGGACTGGTTGGATCTCCTTGCAGTCCAAGGGACTCTCAAGGGTCTTCTCCAACACCACAGTTCAAAAGCATCAATTCTTGGGCGCTCAGCTTTCTTTATAGTCCAACTCTCAGATCCGTACATGACCACTGGAAAAACCATAGCCTTGACTAGACGGACCTTTGTTGGCAAAGTAATGTCTATACATATACATATATATACATATATATATGTAAAATATATATATTGCCAAATTTACTTCAGAAAAGAGAAATGCACTTCTCCCTCATAGCAGTGTGTGAGGGTATCGTCCTGGGACGCATCGAGAGGGAAAGTGGCAGTCAGTCATGTGCGACAGTTGGCCACCCCGTGGACTGTGGTCGCCAGGCTCCTCTGTCCACAGCATTCCCCAGGCAAGAACACGGGAGTGGGTTGCCACTCCTTCTCCAGGGGATCTTCCCAATCCAGGGGTGGAACCTGTGTCTCCTGCATCTTAGGCAGATTCTTTACGGTTGAACCACCAGGGAACATTTATACTCTGCAAATCTGATGACAGAAAAAGGCATCTTACTGATGTTTAGTGAACAAGTGAGATTTTAAGAGGTTAAACAGTTTTATTTTGAAAATAACCTTCTGGGAATTCCCTGGCAGACCAGTGAATTTGCTTTCCCTGCTGTAGGCACAGGTTCAGTCAAGGGACGAAGATCCTACAAGCCGTACGGCATAGCCAAAAAACAAGTACAAATTCTGCATCTCCTGTCAGCAGTTCAGGAATATCTACTGAGCACTGACTGTGTGCCAGTTACTCTAAAAACCAGGACTATGGTGGGCAAGTTTAACAGCAGTCCTGGAGCTCACAGACCAGGGTTGTTGTACACAGTAAGCAGACCAGTGGCGTCAAGAAGGGTTTGGAGAGGAAATGTGCAACCCAGGGCCTGAAGGACTGGAGTGAGCAGGTCTGGGGAGGCCCCAGGTACACGGGGCCCGTGCACACTTAGCACAGTGTGCATCAAGGCTGGGAACCCCTCTTCTGGCTCCCAGCACCACAGATCCTTTTCGCTTTCCCTTTTAATTGTGTTCATAGTGATTGTGTGTAGTAGTCTTAAATTTGTGTCATCAAATTAAAAGTCCATAGAAGGACCAAGCATCAGATAGCACTTGATTAGGCCCTGACGCTGCACTGAGCTGCAGAGAACGCCCTCAGACTCAGGCTGGCAGGAACTCCGTCGGTCTGTGTGCAGGAAGTTTCTCCGTCTTTGGGAAGCGAGGGTGCTTTGTTCTCACCGTTTCCGCCTTTTAGAAGCACTGTCACTGTATGTGGACTCTCTTTGAGGAGAGTTAACCCTGTGCTGTCACTGAGAGAAAAACTGACTTCGTCAAGGGGCTGTCCCAGAGCTAAACTGGTGCGGCCAGGGGTCTCAGGACTGGGGAGAGAGCCTTCTCCAGAAGGCCCCGTCACCCTCCAGCCAGGCGCAGTGAGACCCTGGGTAGCCAGAGTGGACAGTCTTGTCTTACACGTGCCCACCCCACCCAGCCACAGAGCTGCTGATCCTGGCTCATCACTGCTTCACGCTGACATGCCACATGGAGGGCATCATCCGCGTCCTGCAGGCCGCCCGGCTGCTCACCGACAACCACTTGGCCCCCAGTGAGGAGTATGGGCTGGTGGTAAGTCACCCCTGACCCTTGCCCCCATCCTGAGACCACCTTTGACAGGCAGGTGGGCTGGAGGCTGTCTCAGAGCTGATGTCCCTTAGGGGGTCTGCCTGTCTCGATACTGCTACCTACTTGGTAGCTGGCTGGGCAGCTCAACCCCCTGCTCCAGGTTTTGGTTTCTGTCAGAATCCAAAATAGCACCAAAGGGACAGAAATCAGAGAGGATCCCTGCCATGCTCCAGGCGGTCACACCCATTCACCCCCGGTTGTTAGCTTTTCCAGAGGGCCAAGACAGCAGTCATTTTCCCTGCAAAACAAGGTTCAGACCCGCCTCTTGTGTGTGAACTGAAAGGAGCTGACCACTGAAGCTTCCCGCACCGCTGCAAATTCCGTAGGCTTGAAACTGGCCCATGTGGCTGAGCAGGCCGCTGGGTGCTGTAATTAGGAGTGTGGGGACGGAAGGGTGCCTGCCCAGGAGCACGGTAGTCACGTTTAGACAGCAGAGGCGGGGACAGCCAGTGAGGAGCCTTTCTGCGTTCTCCAGGGAAGGCCCCTGTTGAGTGTGTGGGATCAGGAGGGAGGGAGACAGGCAGAGGAGGAAAGGAGTGAGGCCTGGCCGTCAACCCTGCTTCCTGCTGGAGCCCGGTGTTTGAAAGCAGCCAGACTCCTGAGGAGGTGGTCTGGCTCAGAGGACTCCAAGCAACGCTGATGCAAGCTGCCCTCTCTCTGCAGGTGCGTCTCCTCACTGGCATCGGGAGGTACAACGAGATGACGTACGTATTCGATTTGCTGCATGAGAAGCACTGCTTCGAGGTGCTCATGAGGAAGAGGCTGGACCCTGTAGGTGCACAGTGGTTTTGAGCTGCTGTTCTGCCGACGCCTGGGAGTCTCAGGTTTTCTCAGGAATAAGCCCAATCAGGATATGGAGGGCGGGAAACTAAGGACCTCCCTCAGACGTACACCGAAACCAGGAGCTTAAGGTTCCAGAGCTGCAGCCAGGTCACAGATGCGCTGATAGATGCTGAATAATGAACACCAAGTCTCCTCACTTACTGTCCCAAGGCTTGCTTTGGCAAGGGCAAGACCCCTCCCCTCCCTGGATTGACCTGCTTGGGCCCTTAAGAGTGGAGAGTTCTCATGGGACCATGAAAAAGTGTTACTAAGAGCTGTTCAGATGTGGGTGCCAAGCTCTGGGCCTAGAAAGCTGTGGAGCTGCTTACAATGACCAGGAAGGAGGCTGGGAAGCCAAGCCCTGACTCGCCAGCCTTTGGCCTCTGGGTTCTTGTCTGTCCTTAGACAAGCTGTGTGTCTGAGGCATGTGTGTGACACCAGGCATGCACTCTGAGAGCCTGTTTCCAAGTCTTTCATTGGCTGATTCATTGTTTCTACCCATGTCACCTCCCTGGTTTAGGACACTGCTTCCAATACAGGGGGCACGGGTTTGATCCCTGATTAGGGAACTAAGATCCCGCGTGCTCTGTGGCAGGGCCAAAAACATTAATTAAAACTAATTAAAACCTAGGTGCACTTTTGTTATCTCAGAACTCGGGCTAGCCGAGCAGGATTAAGAGACATATTTTTCTATATGTTGTGCAGGTAGGAAGTACCCTGCTTTTCTCAGTTAACAAGAAGCATTAAAGAGAAGCAGAAAAACGCTCCTCAGTGTTGGGCCCGTTTCAGGACAAACCAGTCCAGTTATAAGGAAAAGAGCAAGGGATACCTTCAGGACTTTTTAAATTTGTTTTTTGAGGCATTTTTGTTTCTGCATTGAAGCATTCTTTTAATAACTTTGTTTCCAATTATGAAAATGGAAATATGAAATATTAGTACATATTTAAGACATTTGCTTACTTCAGCAGCACATATACTAAAAACTAGAATGGTACAGAGATTAGCATGGCCCCTGCACAAGGATGACACAGAAATTCGTGAAGTATTCCACATTAAAAACAAAAACAACACTTGGGAAACAGAACATGGAAAAAGCCTTGTGTGTCTAGCTGCTGTAGAGAGCTGCTAACAGTTTGGTACAGGCCCTTTCTTTGCACATGTACCCACAAGCATGTAAGCATGTGTGTTTACATACATGTTTACATTTTTTACTAAGCGTGTCATGCTGTGCAAAGAGGAAATAGCCTGCATTTCTCAGTTTTCAAGTCAACATTGGTTTTGATGGCTACATTAGCCTTTTTTCTGGCCTTCTGGATTGTTTCTAATTGTTTGCTATCAAATAGCCTTGTTATATCCATCTTAGCACTTTCCTCTGCTTACTTCTTGAGGGACAGAATTTAGAGTGGAATTGTGAAGACTCATGCATGTATGCACATTGTTAAGGCTTTTCCTCTGACAGGTCTTACCATTCACACTCCCAGCCGGCGGAGAGGATGTGCCTGTATAGCATAAACATCTGTTTTCATTTGTGCCTCTCTTTTCCTTTCTCGTGGGAGTTTTTGAGGAACTTTCAGAATGAAAGGACTAGGTCAGGTCTGCCTGCTCTTCAGGGCCTGGTTGAGACCTTGGTGTCCCTTTTTTTCCGGGCAGAGTGGCACCCTGAAGACGGCTCTGCTGGACTACATCAAGCGCTGCCGCCCTGGGGACAGCGAGAAGCACAACATGATCGCGCTGTGTTTCAGCATGTGCCGGGAGATCGGCGAAAACCACGAGGCAGCTGCCTGCATCCAACTGAAACTGATCGAGTCTCAGCCCTGGGGTATGCAGAGGTCACGACAGCACCGCCGGGGTAGAGCCGCTGGCCGGGGAGGGGTCTCAGGGCTAGCTAAGAAGAGCAAGAAACCAGGAGACTAACACCCACCTCAGCTTCTTGCCATTCATCCAGTGGGTCCCAGAAGGGCGGAAACGGGGTGGGAAGGCCTTTACCCCTCTTGTGGCCTGTGCGTCCAGAGGTGTCATCTGTCAGGAACCAGTGTATGCTGAGGCTGTGGACACCTGCCAGGACGTCTCAGAGGAGTGAGCTAGATGGGGCAGTGAATCCCACTCTGGTGTGGAGAGGGAGCGAGCGAGCGTCTCTCACTTCACCCGGGTGAGACACGCCCGCCTCCCTGTGGACGCGAGCTGGGCTGTCTCTAGCCCACCCTGCTGCCGAGTGGGGAGAGAATAGCCCCCTCTGGGAGCCAGACACACCCACGCTTGCTCTATCCCCCGCAGAGGACAGCCTCAAGGACGGGCAGCAGCTGAAGCAGCTGCTGCTGAAGGCCCTGACGCTGATGCTGGACGCAGCAGAGAGTTACGCCAAGGTAACCGTGAGTCTTACTCCAGACTGGCCTTGGGGCTTGGCGTTGCAGGAGGAACAGTTTTGTTCCGTTGCTGGAGGGGTCACAGGGGAGATGTCCCAAGTCGCCATCGGTGCCTGCCTCCACCCTCACCCCTCAGGACTCCTGCGTGCGCCAGGCCCTGCGCTGCCACCGGCTCACCAAGCTGATAACGCTGCAGATTCACTTTCTGAACACTGGCCGGAACACGATGCTCATCAACCTGAGCCGCCACAGGCTGCCGGACTGTATCGCAGCCCTGCCTCGGTTCTACCAGGTGAGCGTCAAGACCCACCGGCACCGCCGGCTTCGTCTCTCCTGGTGTCCCTGTCGTAGAGCCCAGAGGCTGAGCGGCTTCCCGAGAGGCCTCAGCTCAGCCGGCTCCCCCGACTCCGCTGTCTGATCCATCCAGCTGCCTTTCCACAGTGGTACTTTCTCACCAGCATGTTGTCTGGGCAGAGGCTGGAGACCAGCGAGACTAGCACACTGTCCCCTTCTCCATGCTGTTAAGCCTTTGCACTTGGACAGTTGAGGTTCAGGGTTAACATCCCTGCTCGTGGTCCCGTGAGGACCTCTGAGCCCAGCGTTTCCAGAATGTGTGCACTTCTGGGTATGCATAAAAAGCCAGGGCTTCGGGGAGGTCGGTTCCAGCCCTTTAACATGGAGGGATAGTTATCAGGGAATCAGCCCTTTCACTGAACAGAGCTGAGTGACAGAGAAAAATCTTCAGCAGTTCTTTTAATCCAGTGTTAAGATTAGAAACACCGAAGGAAGGTATTTGGGGTGTCAGGGGGAAGGATAATATCAAACTTTTCACCAACCCTGATAGACCGCCTTTAACATCATCGGTGACAGTCACACTCGGTGAGCGTGCACAGCGTCGAGCTGTTTTCTAGACTCATTGCCTCTAATGGTGTCCTTCTTCCCTCCATCCTTTTAAGGCTTCTATTGTGGCAGAGGCCTATGACTTTGTTCCTGATTGGGCTGAAATTCTGTATCAACAAGTGATTCTTAAAGGAGACTTTAATTATTTGGAAGAATTTAAGCAGCAAAGGTTATTAAGACCCAGTATATTTGAAGAGATTTCAATAAAGTAAGTATTAAAATGCTTCTGCTTTGATATCAGGCATGAGTGAGAATTTTAGAGCTAAGTATATAGGTATAACATGTCTAACCCCTTGGCTTGAGATGGCAAAGAGATGTCAAGAATATCCAGAAGGATAAGATCTCTTAACAGATTTATGCATAAGATCTTTTAACAGATTTATGCAGAGGAATGAGAATAGTTTGCTTACGATGCTCTGTATCTAAAATGGGAGGAGAGCTACTCAGCTGGCCTGAGGTGGCAAAAACACTAAACATCAGAATATCCTTTTGGAGCAGGAAGTTAAGGCCAGCATTAAGATACTCATTTTTAATGAAATTTCATTGTTATCAACCATTGATAGTGAGGGCTATACTAGTACCCTAGTACTAACTAGTCTGATTTCCTAGACTCAAGCACCTTCTTCTCTTATAGACAGTAGTAAGTATCAGAGCTGATAGCCCTTGCCCAAGATACAGTATCTTAATCTGTACGTTCTTGCTTCTCTGTTTAGATGTAAACATCATCAGCCTACAGACTTTGTTCTGAAAAACCTGAAGAAGTTACTCACTTATTGTGAAGACATCTACTTGTATTACAAGCTGGCATACGAACACAAACTTGATGTTGTCAATGTGCTTCTGAAGGACCCTCAGACCGGTTGCTGTCTAAAGGACATGCTAGCAGGTTAGGATGGATTCAGATGACACATGAGGATGGTCACTGCCAAGAATTCTTAAGCGCCTGTTTTCTTGTACTGAAATGAGGTATACAGGATGTCTGTGGTCAGCCTAGAGAGAAACGCAGTGGGGATCTTCGATGTCTGATTGTAAAACACCAGGACTGACCGTATCAGTCCTTTGTGAATAGTGGGTAAAAGGATGAGAAATTTTCACAAGGAAATTCCTTTTCGAAAATGATTATATGCATCTATATCATTTTTTTCTAGCATCTGTATCATTTTTTTCTATATACCAATATCTATATATTGGTATTAAGATCAAAAGTTCCATCTTCCTCAAGACAGTTTTACTTTAGGAGATGATACAATATTTAGTAAAGAATAGCTGTGCCTGCAGATTCCAGTTTCAAAGGAATTTAATATTATTTACACAGTTGAGGAAACAGATGATACATTTCCATTTGTTAGAAACTGATCTCTATAATAAAATAGATTTTAAATTCAGTGTATGTCATTATTAATGCTAAGGAAATCTTAGCCCTTGGCTGCCTTGAAGGAAGCAATCTTTATTGGCTGTAATTATTGCTGTAGAGTCACTGCCTTCTATAGATTCCTCAAATCATTTGACGGCCCTGTCTCCACTAGGTGGTCTACAGAGCTCTGATTGAGGCTCCCACTCCTATGTAAGAGAAATTTAAAATACTTGCTCTGTCCCTATTTTTGATTCCGTGGCAGTTTCAAACAAAGACTCTAACCACAGATTTGGTTAAATTGATTACTATAATATATATATATATATATAATAGAGAAGATCACCCAGTCTCTGCATACAGCCATCACCTGAGTTATATAAGCTCAGTTACTCCAAATAAATATGTCTAGGTATTTAATTAGGCCTCAGTATCTAAGCAACCAAATAATTTCTCCAAATAAATAAGAGGAGTGCAGCTCTATACCTTTGTTGCTCTAGAGAGACACTATTAAGGACTTTGCAAATCACTTTTCTTCTAAAACTACATCTACTCATCAACCACTTATAAAGCTTTGTAAGTATATAGAGAACTCTAGTCCCAAGAGCTTTTGTTCTATACTCTCCAAAAATATCTCTTGGGAGGTAACACAAAATTTAAGTCCTCACAATAGTGACTTTATTAAATTAGTTGCTTTATAAAACATTGCAGATGTCATAATTGTTAACATAACAATTTACCAAACTGTGTAGTTAACTGGTGCAGTTTGCTGAGCATGTTTTATAAAGGAAAGGAAATGCCAAAACCCAGTTAAAGTTGCTCCACTGCAGCCCTGGAGAACAAAGGAAGATTTGTTTTTCAGACAATTACAAATAAAACAGGTGAGGACTTTCCCTCCCCCAGCTGAAGCACTCTGTCAGTACAATAGTCTGATAAATAGAAACTAGACAGTCTATGCAGCCCAGAGATTCCACAACGTGTAATGCAATCATGGAGAGGTTTACCTTCTTGAGCTTCAAAGTTGGAGGGTTTTGGTCATTTAATTAAGTATCAAACTAGTGCTTTGCAGCCGCCGTATCTTCACTCTGAGATTATCAGTCTTCTTCACAATGTATTTTTAATATCCTCACGCTCAATTTTAAGACAAAGCAATGTTAATACTAGGTGCACACCACATGCCCTTGCAGCAGACCGCTTTTCTTGACAAGGTATGAAGTAGTTCAAGGAGGTATGGTTAAGGCTGTATTACTGAACGGTGCTGGTAAAGACTACACAATTTTTTTGTCATGTTGCAACCTTTGTTTCCAATTTAGTGACTGCTGCTATGGAATCAGATAGCAACAATGACAACATCATTAGGTTTGTTTTTTAAAACTATGATTTAGTGACAACAGTGGTTCCCAATTTTAACCCCTTGGCAACAAGATCCAAGTTCCATCATTTGCACATTAGCACCTAAGTGTCAAGGGATTAAGTAACCAGCACAAAAGATACTGCACTTCTGATTGTAGCATTTGGCAGAACTGAAAGGAAAGGAAGTTGTGCTACATGTTGAAGGGACTGTGGGCAACAGAAAGAAGACACCAGGAGAAGATAAGACGTCACATGAAGTCTTCATAGTCTTGTACGTATCCGCCATCATAACCACCATAATCTGCCAGATCATCTTTCATGGTGGCCTTTAATCCCCCTCCAGGAACCACACCTTTCTTCTTCTTTTTGGCTTTGCTTTGCTGAAGATAAAAGAGAGTTAAGTCATAAGACTTTATATGGGCACCTTAATTGGTACAGCAACCCTCAGAGTCAAAAAAAGCCTCTGGTTCCAGAAAAACCTAGTTCTCTGAGATTCCAGAATTAAGCCAGGGTAATTTCTATTATTAATTTAGAAAAAACATGAACATATCTATAAACAAAAAGATGATAATGGCACACTCCTGTTCTATTCCAATATAAATGGTATTGGTGAACTCTTGACTTCTCCTCACTAACCCTGGTGAAAATACCATGTCTACACCCCAGTGTGCGCAATACACATTTCCCACACAACTAGCTCTTTTACCTTTTCTTGCTTCTGTTTCTCACTGCAGAGTACAGTCAATGAATTGGTAATCTTTTTCAAGTCATCAATTTCCACTAAAAAAAATAATAATTTTTAAGAATTTTAGAGCATAAGTAAAAAAGCAAAACACACATTCTTCACAGTGTCATGACGAATCTAATTTGTCCATCATTAACTTCAGTAACTTTGAAAAGGCTGTTAATCTCTCCTAACATGATAGAGAATCTTTTAAGTGTATGGCTAGGCTCACAAACCAGAACTGCCTAAAATGGCAAGCCCAGCAACAAAGCTTCGTGATGATCTATAATCGCCAAGACGCCGCTGTTTAACCAGAAACTGGAAACAGCTACAGCTTACAGCGCTCCCTACCATGCTTCCTTATCCAGTCTAAACACATAAAATAACCAGTCTTATGGAAACAACACATCCTTGATTTTCAGTGAGGAGCATCTGAATCAATACGGAAGGCCAATCCTTAAACGCACAGACGACAACTCCCCGGCCCTTGAGGTCTCCATTTTCTAGCACAAGAGTGAAAATAATAGGTTATCTCAGAAGTCTTAAGTGCCTGCCCTACCAGGAAATAAACTTGGCCAACACATCCTTCCACCCCATTAAAATAGAAAGCTGGAAACAGACATGAGTTTTTATCTACCAAAAGAAGTGTTCAATTTTGGTTAGCACCTCTGAAACAGAAAAAAATAGTGTGTACAAAATAAAACGACAACTACAGGCATATCGCTGACCAGATTTAGAACCTTCCACTTAGTAATCATTTCCCAAAGAAAATCCACTTTAAAATTCCTGTGAAGAATTCATCCTCAGTCTTAAAAACAGTAAATACTAGCCAAACTAGTCCCTTCCACCTTGGTTGCTATATACCACCACTGGTTGGCACTCCCATTCCCCACGCCCCTGAAACGTGCACGAAACGAAATCCACGGACCCAGAGAATGGCTGGCAGCTCGTGCAGCTGGCTTCTTCTTACAAAGTGAAAAGACACTCATCTGTGGTCTCAGTTCTAAAATTCTGTATGATTTTCCCCAAAAGATACTTCCTTAGCTCCCTTCAATATAAAACAAGAAGCTAGTCTTTTATTCGCTGTTGTGCCAACAAGCACAGATACCCCTCTGGGAAGCCACTGTAAAAACACTAAGAAAGCATCCTCAGAAGACCACTTGGTGTGGATTTGCAGAACAACATTCCTAAACTACCTGCTAAAAAGCAAATCTTCAGTGTATTAAAACATCCCCTACTTAAATCCATCCACAAGGGTCAGAGATGAGAATTACTTACATGAAATACAAACATCTCGAACTAAGGCTTCCAGAAAATTGGCATAATATAGTGACTTTTCATATTGTGTAATTTTATCTTTTAGTAACTTTCCGAACTCTGTGAAGTCATCTCTCGAGGACGGGTTCATAGCATCTATTCCATAAACTGTATTATTAACACCTGTAGGAGAAAGGGGAAAGGGGACACACAAAATATCAGAAGATTTTTTAAAATTTAGAAACCTATCAGATGTCTAAATAACCCTATTATTTCATTCTAAAACAGAGGTTCTCAACCTGAGTCGACTGAAATCTTCGGACAGAATTCAAGTGGTTTGTACATAATTACTGTATCACAGGTTATTTCAATATTTTGATACCTATTCCAAAATAATAGGTTTCCTTTGTAAGTAAAATCTTCTGTATTTTATGCATTTAAAAACAGTATGTTAAGAAGGGAACCATAGGCTTCACTTGGCCCAAAGGAGTCCCTGGCACAAAAGGGATGCTCTAAAAGCATTTGTCCAAGAATAGCCCACAGCAAAGATGGAAGAGAAAGAAAAAAAGCAAACAGAGATGGTTCCTGTGAAAGTATCCAGCTAACTACAGAGGCTAAATAGGAGTAAACCATGTGTTAAATCCCAACAGAAAAATTAGCTTGAAAGGATTCTAGGCTGCGAGACACGATGCTTCCTGTGTGTGCTGTGTGTGTGCGCTCAGTCGCGTCCAACTCTCTGCAACCTCACGGACACGGGGTTTTCTAGGAAAGAAGACTGGAGTGGGTTGACTCCCCTACCCCAGGGGATCTTCCCCACCCAGGGATCAAACCTGCAGTCTCTCGCGTCTGCTGCACTGGCAGACCGATTCTTCCTCAATAATCAAGTAATCACGTGCTAACACTGATCCAATATTTTAGTATTAGAAACACAACACTAAAATCCTATTAACCAAATGATCACTGTATGAATACATGTTTTTGCTTTTAATCGACAACTGGTGCCCCATCTTAGAATTTATTACCACATAAACCCTTCTCTCTAATAACACTATGGGTGCCTTTTACCACCCTATGAAGACAGGACACTGGGCACGCGCCCGCTGCAGTGAGACGAGCGTGGTGGCGACATGTCAAGCACTCGCCAGGACACGAGCATCCACAGCAACTCTTGAGACTGCGGAAGGCTCACTGAGAGGTCAGCTCACACTCGCAGTGCAAAGCAGAGTGCTCACGACAGTCAGCCTGCTTGGTCCAGTTTAAAGAAGGGACGGGGAGAGATCAAAACAACTGGATCCTCCTAGGCTTCATCTCAAGGTTATTTAACTGAAACAGGATATTCTACTCTGAAAAAAAATAAAATGAGAACTTTTCAAACTATTTCTCTGACTTTGTATCTTTATCCTCCAGTGCCATGTAAGGCCCCCTGGAACTCTCTAAACTTACTGTCCACTTACAGAGTCCTGAACATACCTTTTATCTTCTACACTAACCACAGCTGCAGGCGTGGGACACGGACGTGGAAGTCCTCTGGAGGAAGGGCGTGCTGAAGGCCAAGAGGGGACAGCCTCGGCCTCACCGAGGCCAGCAAGCTCCTGTCTAGATCCCACCAGACTTAAGACAATGATACTTCTACAGTCAAACATTTAAACCTCAGAAAGTTACAGGCTCCACACTTCACCCAAACTTCATCCAGCTGATAACATATACTTAAATCAGCAGTATACTTTATTTGGGTTCAATAACTTAATCATCTTTTATACAATACTCAAATTATTAAAAAATCTGAGCACATATCTCACTCTATGTTAAGTAATGAAGCCTCAAGTACAAACAGAAGAGGTTAAGAACTGCTTTCTAATACCTAAGTTACCATGTTTCTTCATAAAAGATGTTTTCTGAATTTTCAAACCAGTAAGACTTCCACAGTGTTCACTTACAACTTCAATACTACACTGTTACACACCCCCACTTACCAAAAGTTTCTTTTGCTAATTCGAGGTCAGACTCTTCCTGTAATTTCTTAAGCCGCAGTTTATCTGCTAACTGTTCTTCTGGTGTTAGCATTTTAGGTTCTTCAGGTTCTTCTAACTAAAATGAGACAACAATGAAGTTTGAAAACAGCTGGTTATAATGAACACAGTACATGTCTGTACTGTATAATTTTTTTTTCTAGACATACAAATAATAGCAAACATTCATAGTGTTCATTGTATTTCTACAGTAAATTCTTTTAGATATCCTTTTCCTAATGTTACAGGAAAAAAACCCGAGTCACAGATTAAGCAGCCTGCCCATGGTAACAGAAGGTTAACACAAGTGGTAATGTCAAAGGATTGAGACTTGAACACTGGGTTTATTTCATGGTAATTTTTCTTAAATTAAGGACTTGAGGTTGCAGACAAGTTGAAAATATCTCTCTTAAATTCTGGCTAAAACTGTATACTGAAAAAATTTTTTCTAGAGTAACTTTCGTAATATTTATCAAGTCTTTAAAATACACTATATGCTTTAATCAAATAATTCCACTTTGAGGTATTCCTCTTAAGAAACCAAAGATGCACACAAATATTTAACCAAAAGGAGGTCAAATGAATATTATGGTAGTCATAATATCAAATAAATGTAGAGATGATCTAAATATTCCACAACAGAATGGTTAAAGTATATGGCATATCCATAATATTATGTAGACATACAAAAAAAAAAATTTCTTCAGAGAATTAGAAAAACATTTCCCCCTTATTTATCATTTTATTCCACTTCTTTGAGATGACAATAGTCTAATTTATATCCTTTCTATATACCATAAGTTTCTATAACAAATATGTTACTGAGAGGAGATACCTTTGATAATATTTATCAAAGGAGGAAAAAGGTGAAGGGAATTTGTGCCATTTACAATTATCCATGCCTGTGCAGTTGGAAGATTTTGATTTAGAAGGCCACTTCTGAAACAGGTCACATTTTATTTCTCATGGAGAAGATTTTTCTAGAAAAAGGGAACTATCTCAACTATTGATAGAGCTGAACACCCTTATTTCCTGCATCAAAACTGAGTGTGTTTTAACTCAATACTTCACCTAAGATAAAATTAATTCACTGAGTGTAAGGTTTCTTTATTTTGGAGACTAATATCAAGATACAATAAAGTAAGTATAATGCTAAACTTCAATGACCAACTTCTTAGACTGAGCTGTAAGAATCCATTGCTTGTTCTGAACAAATAAACATGCATGTAAGTATATTTAGATATACAAATACAAGATTACTAAAAAGTATCTAAAATGTTCCTGACTGGGGGGAAACAGACATTCTCACATATTGTTGGCTATGATAATTTGGTACTAAAAAGGAATGACAGTAGCTGATTCCAGGCCTAAGAGAGTTTACCAGATGAGCTTATTGTGCCAGAGAACAAGGAACCTTTCAAAGACTAGCAGGGTTCTGTGAAACAGAGGAAGATAGGAACAACTTAGAGTGACCCCTATTATCCAACATTGGGACAGTTTAAGCATCAAAAAAAAATAATCACTATATCTAAATGAAATTCATAAAAGACCATAAATTTACTCAAAAAGAAAAAACTGAAACCCACAAAATCCTTCATTTTTCACCTCTTAAAGTTACCACACCGGCTCCTTACTCTGAAAATTAGTAATTAAAAGAATTAAGCTTTTATGCTTTCTAGTACAAACCATATTCAAAGTAACCAAATAGAAAAAAGGGGAAAAAAAGCCAGCCAATAAAAAAACAGAAGTCATAGAATGAAATATCACCATTCTGCCACACCTAAAGAAATAATTAGGTAATGATCATCAATGACACTAAAACTAACCATAAAACTGCATTACCAGTAAAAAGAAATCTGTAATTTTACAAGAGAAGGACCAGGTTGTCATCAACTTAACTCAGTAATCAATTTTAGCATCATTAATAATAGTACAGACATTATATGATTCCTGATGTGACTGATGCAACACGAAGCATACAGCATTATATCTGAAATATTCCAACCAAAAATGTTTAATCTAATTCCAATTAAACTTCTAGACTTCACTGCCAAGTTACAAGAAACTAACCACCAGGAAGCAGTCAGAGAAATCGAGACGGTGGGGTGTTCTGCAGGACAGCTGCCCTGCTCTTGTCAGCCAGTCAGTGTCATTCAAAAGAGAAAGACAGACCCTGGGAGATTTAGAATACATTTAACAACCAAATAAGTGCAAGGTGCTTGCCTGAACAAATCATATGTACGGATATTTTGGGACAAAGAAATGCACATAAACTGAATACAGATGATGTTTAAAAATGACTTACATGAGGAACGTAATTATGTGAGAAACAGCTTTGCTTTTTCAGAAATGCATACTGAAGTATTTAAAGGAAAAATGCATAATGTCTGTTATATATTGGATTATATTTTAGCAAAAAAAAAAACAGAACAGGTGAAGCAAGTTGGCAAAATATTAACAACTGGTAAATTTAGGTGATTTGTATATGACCCATTATGCTATTTTCTTGAAATTTCTCTTAATAAAAAGTCAAGGGAAGCTTTGCGCAGTGGCAGTATCGTAGCCAATGAGGTTTATCCGAGGCGCGATTATTGCTAATTGAAAAAAAAAGTCAAGGGAATTCCCTGGTGGCCCAGTGGTTAGGCGCTTTTACTGTGGAGTTGTTTCACCAGGTTAAAGATAAAATAAGGAAGCTTGCTATGATCTATGGTAAGATTTCCATGATTATTAAATAAAGCCAAGGTGAAAACAATAAAAAATGGGTGGAATATGACCATACAGTTGTATACAAATACATAAAGTCACCTTGGAGACATCATAAACCAGTATTTACTTATAGGATAAAGGGAAAGAAACAGAACAAATCTGTGAAGAGTTGGGTGCCCCTCTTAATATCCTTTTGATTTCTGAATCATGTAAATGTGTTTTCTATTCAAAAAGTAAATGAACACAAAATTCCTGATCTTGCTCCAAATAATCAAAAACATCTATATAGTACATGGCAGAGAAATGGATGCTTTTTGTATTTATTCAAAATGTACACTGCCCATTAAAAAAAAAAAAAAAGACTATAATCACAGCTAGAGAGAACTGCAAGGCACTGACAAAAAAATCCCTGACTATGGTCACAAGACAATCCTGAGTGCTTCCAAATGTCTGTGAAAATCTAAAAGGCATTCTAACACGTAAAGCTTCTGGGTTTGGTTTTTGCAAAAACCACAAATTCAGTTTGTCTGGGATCACTTTATCTGATGATGTCCATTTACAACCTTTACAAAGCCCTTTAAAAGGTCAGGTAACATTTGCTGCTTGTTACGATACTGCACCACTACTGAGGTGAGAATTCTGTATTATGGAAAATAAATAGGACTTACTCTCTTTTTAATTTCTTCTTGCCTTTTCTTCTGCTGCCGTTCTTTCTCTTTTATTTTCTCTGCTATTTTTTTCTTTTCTGAAATTTTTACTTCTGAAAGTAAAGAAATGTTTTAATCACAGTTAATCTTAAATATTTTCTAGTTTATGAATGAGACAGACATGATACTTATATATTTCAAAAGATCAAACCTCTCCCAGCTCCAATTTAGATGGTGATTTCCTGGCAAATAGGAATAGAAAAGTTCTTCCTTTCTCCTCTCTAATCTAACCCCTAAGATCCAAACGCCTCCTTTCATATTTCCCCACAGTCCTTTAGGTAAGACTTAGACCATTCAACTGTGATGCCTCATCCTCTAATCTGATTATATTTTAAAGAGAGAGAAAAAAGAGATGCAGGGAGAAGAGAATGAACTGGAAACAGAAGGATGCTTGGTTTCTAAAAATAACCAAAATGTTCTATTTTGCAGCATTTTGTTAGTTGTCTTAACATAAGCATCAGATTAAGATCTAAACCCCAAAACAGAGGAAACCCAATGGATCACCTGGTTTTACTTCTGCTGCTTCTTTTTTTTCATCATCATCATCATCCCAGTTATCCTAAACAAAGAAAACTCCATTAATAATTCTTGCGTGCTTACTTTTCCATGTGATCCTTATTATTCTAACACCACAGAAACAAGTTTGCTGGGGTTTGGGGGTTTTTTTTTTTTTTTGGTCTTACATTAAATTTATAGTTTTGGGAGAACTGACATAATGTTGAACTGCCCTAGCCTAGAAAAAGGGCTATCTTTTCATTTGTTCACGCCTACCTCTGTATCTTTCAAAGAATGTTTTAAAGTTTCTCTTAAAGGATTTTGCGTATTTCTCATTAGGTCTATTCCTAAGTATTCGTCTTCCCTGTTGCCGTTGTAAATTTTTTTTTTTCCATTTTCTGCCCTCTAACTGGTTATTATTTTATCATAGAAAAGCTACAGGTTTTGCACATTAACTTTACACCCTACTACTGTACGTATGTAAATACTTACATGGTGTGCTCAGTCGTGCCCGACTCTTTGTGACCTTATGGACTGCAGCCCACCAGGCTCCTCTGTCCATGGGATTTTCCATCAAGAATACTGGAGTGGGCTGCCATTTCCTACTCCACGAGATTTTCCCGACTCAGGGATCAAACTCGCATCTCTTGCGTCTCCTGCATCAGTAGGCAGGTAAGATTCTTTACCACTGCACCACTTTGAAACCCACTTTGATTACATTTATCACTTAAGTTAGTTCCATCACTGAGTCTCTATGGTCTTCCAGGTATACTACCATATCATCTGCAAATGAGATAGCTTTATTCCTTCTTCACCAATTTGTGTGCCTCCACAATTGATTTCACTATCTAATCGCACTAGCAAAACCTCTAGTATAGTGTGAAAGAACAGTGGCAGAGAAAACGGGGATCAAGTCCTTGTTCTTCTCTTAATGGAAATGCCTACAGTGTCTCCCCACGAAGTGTTATGTACCCCACCACATTTATGGAGTAAAATTTAAAACTTTTCTTTTAATGCTCTGAATTCCAAGTCAATTACAAAGTCTTTTCTTAAAGCAAGGAATTTTCTTCTAGAAGATGTATGCTTCCATTGTTTTTTCATTTAGATCTCTGATCCTTTGCAATTTTTTTCTTTTCTATAATGGATCTAAGTATGGATCTAATTTTATTTTTTCCCAAATAGTTACCCAGTTGTCAAAGCACCATCTATTGAAAAGTCCACCTTTCTAATATTTTATAATAACTATAAATGGAGTATCATCTTTAAAAAGTGTGAACCACTATGTTGGTTCCAAATAGGGAAAGGACTATGTCAAAGCTGTATAATGTCACCCTGTTTATTTAACTTATATGCAGAGTACATCACGAGAAATGCTGGACTTAATGAAGCACAAGCTGGAATCAAGATTGCTGGGAGGAATATCAATAACCTCAGATATGCAGATGACACCAGCCTTATGGCAGAAAGCAAAGAGGAACTAAAGAGCTTCTTGATGAAAGTCAAAGAGGAGAGTGAAAAATCTGGCTTAAAACTCAACATTCAAAAAACTAAGGCCATGGCATCCAGTCCCATCACTTCATGGAAAACAGATGAGGAAACAGTGGAAACAATGACAGACTTTATTTTCTTGCACTCCAAAATTATTGCAGATGGTGACTGCAGCCATGAAATTAAAAGACGCTTGCTCCTCGGAAGAAAAGCTATGACCAACCTAGACAGCATATTAAAAAGCAGAGATGTTATTTTGCCAACAAAGGTCCGTCTCGTCAAAGCTATGGTTTTTCCAGTAGTCATGTATGGGTGAGAGTTGGACTATAAAAAAAGCTGAGCACTGAAGAATTGATGCTTTTGAACTGTGGTGTTGGAGAAGACTCTTGAGAGTCTCTTGGACTGCACGGAGATCAAATCAGTCAATCTTAAAGGAAATCAGTCCTGAATAGTCACTGGAAGGGTTGAATCTGAAGCTCCTCCAATACTTTGGCCACCTGATGTGAAGAACTGACTCACTGGAAATGACCGTGATGCTGGGAAAGACTGAAGGCGGGAGAAGGGGACGACAGAGGATGAGCTGGTTGGATGGTATCACCGACTAGATGGACGTGAGTTTCAGCAAGCTTCAGGAGTTGGTGATGGACAAGGAATCCTGGCGTGCTGCAGTCCACGGGGTCGCAAAGAGTCGGACGCGACAGAGCTGACACTGTATACCTGAAGCCTGTAATACTGCCAATCAACTACACTTCAGTGTTTAAAAAGCCCATCTCCGCCCTGTGATTTAACCATATACTGAGTGTTCTTAGACACTGGATCTATTTCTGCTTTCTATTCTATCCCACTGGTTTGTTGTCTCTTCATGTACCAGTACCTACTGTTTTAATTAGAGGCTTTATAGTATGTTTTTAATGTAAGCTGGGGCTAATCCCCCCTTTTCAGGTTTTTTAGTGTTTTCCTGGCCATTCTTGCACACTTATTTCTCCATATGAACTTTTACATCAAGCTGTATAACTCCACAAAAAAGCTTCTCCATTAACAGTTAAAACACAAGACCACCAAGCCAAAACTAACAGCCTCTCTTAAATAATCCACAGTAGTTTTAAAGAAAAATTGAGCTGTCTTTATACTTCTTACTTCCCCAAATGTAAAAGCATCCAACATTCTGGTTAATCGTTTTAATTATTTCAAGCAATAGTCCATACAACGTAACCCTGGCTAATGAATTAAATCTTTATAAAAATTTAAGCCCAACATTGTAAATCAACTATATTTCAACTTTTAAAAATTAAATTTAAAAAAAAAAGAAAAAAGAGTTAAGCTCAGAACAACGGAAGAATCAAGAGCTGATCCACAGCTTCATGGAACCAACTCCCTAACTTGGGCGGGGCACTTTCAGGTGGCTCTGTAGTCTCTTTGCTGTGCCTAGCAGAGTCACTGAGCCAAACATAAAACAATGATCAATCTTCTAAAGGGTCCACAGAATTTAGAAGGTTTAAGTTTAACAGAGAAAGACACAGTCCTGTGTGTAAATAGGGCTTTAACCTACAGGTAACCTGACCACTGTCTCAGCCACGAGGACACGCCAGTCTGCAGCTGAGCAGAAGGTGACGGGCAAGGCAGGAGGGGCAGGGCTGACTCATGTGCCACAGCTGCGACGCCAAGCTTCTGGCTTCATAACGCAAGAGGCTGTAAATCTGAATCAGGCTAGGTCTGTAAACTAAGCCTTGATTCTTAATAAAAATCTAAATCCAAAGAAATAAAAAAATCCTGCAAGGCTGCCATGAGTGGGAAGAACTTTGAATTTTAGTGTTTTTATAATCACTTTACCTTTGCAATTTAACCCACAGTTCATAGTTAACACACACAATGAAAGCAAACCAGCGAGTCACTGTATGAACATCTACGAGTCAGAAATCAGACGGCACATGTCCATGTCACCCTGCCGGTTTGCGTAAGTGCTCTATCAGTACACCATTGTACAAAAGGAACCAAAGAGCTAAAACTAAAAGTTGACTACTACTAGAAGTCTTTTGTCACTTTCGTCTTCACAGAACAGAAAAGCTGGGTCTGTGAGTGGTATGCTGCTTAGATGGTTCTCAGATGTAAGAACTGTCTGCTTACTTCCAGGGAATGTTTGTAACTCCCTACTAATAACAGTGATGATGATAACAGTAACAACAGACTGCATTTACCAAGTGCTTACTGTGCACTAAGCACTATGCAAAGGACTTCATGTTTAAATTTTTTAAATTCTCTGGCCATGCTGCACAGTTTGTGGAATTTTAGTTCCCTGACCAGGGACTGAACTTGGGCCCGTGGAAGTGAGTCCCAACCACTGGACTGCCAGGGAAGTCCCCAAAGAACTTTACATATAGTAACACAGTTAACCCTCACAAAAATCCTGCAAGTAAAGTAGTGTTATCCCCACTTTACATTAAGGACGATAAGGCCCAGAGATAACAACCACACAATCTGAATGGAAAAATAATGAAGGAACCTGTTTTGAACAGGACAAGATTTCTTTAAAGTGTCATATTAAACATCATTTCTTACCTGAATCCTGAAGTATAAATGTCTGGGAACTAGGTCCCTCCACACCAAAATTTGTTCTTTCAATTAGTCCTGGAATGGAGTCCCCTGGAATTGCAGGGAATCCCATATCAAAGAGAAGGGTTATGGTACATACTAAGATATGCCCTGCTACAACGGTGTCAAATATTCATCTCAAATCGCCTGTGATGGATTTCTACTAATTTTAACAAATGAGTCTAGCAGCCTCTGGGAGCAGGTGCTCAAGAGGAGCGAGGCGTAGCTGAAAATCAGCAGCGCCATCCCAGTAACTCCCACACAGCGAAACAGCACAGCAGGGTAGGATTTGTGTTCAGTGCTGATATTCCTCAGTTCCCTTTGCCAGTGAAACCTCACCCCACCCAGATCACTGCTTTCTCAAGTGTCTCATTCACCCTGACTTTAGGTCCCGCCTCTACCCCGTCCCTGGTTTTGCTACCGAAGAATAACCTTATTCTGGACAGTTGTCACACAGTCCCGTCAGCGCAAGTGTAATGAGGCCACCTAGAATTTCAGCACAGAAAAGATTTCAGTAGCAAAGACAGTGGCTCCTATCTCTAGGTCCTGGGAACAACTACGACATTTGCTCCTCAGTTCATAGACAGACCATGAAAGGCACCCTCACCCCAGAGTGCTGGAAAAAAGTTTGCTCTGAAGTTACTTCTACACTGAGGACAAGCTCCTCAAGAAGGGAGCACAGTGACGCCGGAAGAAACAGACCGGTCACACTTCCAAACAAATGTCGTCCCCAAAGCAGAAGGCCAGGAAGCTTTCCCCATGAACTTAAGACAGTTTTTGCATCCTTAGTTATAAAAGTAAATGCATAAAAGTAGAATGTTTAAAACTGCCCAATTTTCCATAAACATCAAGACCTTGTAAATGCTGACAATGAATTCAGATAAAATACAAGAAGGGTTACTAGAGAAACAGCTAAAATTAATGGTTGTTTTTGGTTCAGGAGTTACCTGTCAATATCCAATGAAATTCTTTAACCAATTATCACTG